GGCGCGGGGGTGGTTCGCGTTGCCGCCACCACGCCACGGGCAAATTATTTGAAGCGGGGACAATGAAAACGTGCCTTTGTCATCAGGGGGAGGGGGAGGGATAAATGGCAGCAGCGAGACAAAACTAGACAACAGTTATGTGATGATTAGGCTATCGGAAAGACTGGCCTAGGGTCGGGTGGGGTGGGGCTGCAGCCATCGGACCCGCCAGAGCTCTGCCGCTGTGCCAGAATAAAGATTAAGGAAGACAAAGGGATAGGCTTAGGCTAAAGGCTCGCCTATTATTGGACACTTTGCTAAATTGTGTTCCCAAGAAATTAAATGATGTAGACAATTTTGAATCCGAGCGGAAATATACCCTCCAGAGTAGAGGTAATGAATTTTCTTTCACTATTTTCCCAGCATTGTGTCGTGTAGTGAAAGACTGAATCTTTTAGCTTTGCCCAGCTCCAGCTCCGGCCTGGCCGGGAAGCTCGCCGGCGGAGGACGTCATTTTCCCCCTTTTGAGTGGGAGCGCGGCCTGCTCCCCCTTTGCTCCATCTCGCCTTTATTAATTGACTCCTCTGGCGAGGCGGGGCTGGCGGCGACCTCGGATCAAAGAAGCAACGCTGCCGAGACGGGACGAGGTTAGGGATCCGTTCACAAACTGCAAAAGCGATTGCTTGTTCCGATGTTGGCGGACAGGGACACTCCAGCCAGACCCCAGGTTTCGGGCGCAGTCGGAGGGGCACGTCGCCGTCGCGACGCCCCCTTTCCTCCCTTGCCTCCCCGCGAGTCGGGCGCCGCCGGGCACACGCACTCGCACTAAGGGACCGCGCCAAGTGCGCCACACTCACATTTTGCAAAATATTTGCAATTGACCATAATTTTCAAATGTAAATATAAATGTTGTTCTTTTCGGAAATTAAATGAAAGGACCATCATTTTGCACCTATCTTCTCTGTTTGCGTTTGTCTGCGGTACTGACTCCACCCACGCTTTACTCGCCCAGCGCGGAATCAGCAATAATTTGCTCTTTTACTGCTTGTACTGTTTGAGATTGACTGGAATAATCTATTCTTTCTAGTAATAACTCCGTGTTTACCTGCGCTACCTCCCGCGACTCGCAAACTCATCACGCAGTCAGAACTCGCGACCCCTTCCCCCCTACCTCCCGAATATACATCGGCCCTCCCTCCCTCTCGCCCGCTCTCCCCTTCTTCCTGCAAGAGAGGATGGAATTTATGACGGAAGTTGGGAGCGGTGTATGTGGCCCTCTTTCACGGCCTCCGGACTGCACCGGAGTCTATCTACTAGCACTGGCCGACGGGGGAGGGGTGAGGCGGGGAAGCCTTGGGAGTGGGGTGCGCGCCCTGCGAAAGTAAGTCACCGGAAAGGCCTTTCGGGCGGTTCCCGAGTACATCCATAATGTCAGATATTTTTCATCTCGGAGGGTCGAGGGAAAAGGGGGGGAGGGGGTGTACACCGGCGGGAGTATTTGCCGCTCCGCGCGACTTGTATCGCCACGCCAGGCGGCTCGGCTCAACCGGAACCAAAAAGTCTGGGCTGATATATACGGTTCAATTTCTGTTCCCCAAAGCCACTGGGGCGCAGGGGAATAGGTTGTGTCTTGTAGTATAGGAAGTGGAATCTGGCGACCCCTCCCCACCCCCTACCCCCGCGCCGCATCGCAACGCAAGAGGCCAAAAGTGGTGGAGGGGGATGCTTAAGTTTTGTATACGGTTCCGAAGGGTATCACCCGAAAGGTGGCCAACTATATGGTAATCAGATTTGGTAATCAGTCGGTAGTCCACACACTCGTCAGCAGGGTCCTTTCAAAGGACAATTTTTCTGATTGAGACATGCATTTTTGTTCTCATCTTGCCTAAATGCAAACGTATTATAGGCAAATTTGCATCTCTCTCATGGACTAAAATTTAATTTGTCCAATCAGAGAATGCAAATTTTTAACTTGTAAGATTAAGAATTAAGAACTACCTAAGATGTGCACAAAAATACATCTTTCTCGGGACAAAAACTGGCCGTTTGGGCTTAGAATGCAGGAAAATCAAAGTATTCACTGGTAATCTTTGGTAATCATCGGTAATCTTAACAATTTGGCAATCCGGTGTACACCTGATTATCACACAATTGGCTATGCGTACCCTTCGGCATCACCCGACATCGCTGACTGCAGATAAGTGTCTCTGCCAACCTGAACTCCTTGGTGGTGTCGTGGAGTCGGTTGTTATGGGCGGTGGGCCCGACCTGTGCTGTGCCACCACGGTGCACGGCAAAATCAAATTGCCCTCCCCCCCCCCTCCCTACCGCGGCGCTCCGCGCCTGCCTGTGCTCTGTGTACGGGCTGGTTGCGGGACGGGGAGGGGAGGGG